AACTACTCTGTCATTGTGTCATTGTGTCTCTTCCTTCCTTTCCTAGAGAAATGTTTTGTTTTTAGTTTGTTTTTGGGTTCCCTTAAAAATGCAGCCATATCACTTTATTACAAATACTTCTTTATGCTGTATTGGTTAATTCTGATTTGCCTGATAAGATTTATGCTATTGTTTAGACATTCATTTTTCATCTGGTAAAATGATGGGAACATTTCTGACAGTAAAGCTTGAACAAAGAATTAATCAAGTGATTTTCTACAACTTATCTCACAGATAGATTCCATAGTGTTGGTTCTTTGAAATTTACTTGGAATGTAAATAAAATAGTATTTTCAGAGCCCAAAAGAGATTTTCTTTCTTTAAAATGAAACTAGTAGCAACAGCCATTAACAATAAATAAAGTTGTAATTTTTAAATCTTAAAACCTATTTTTATTTCAGGATTTCATGCATTGTTTTAATGCTTTTACAATTTAAAATAGTTCTGAAAAAGACTCACATAATACCATCTGAAGAAAGGAAAATGTTTTTGTTCTTTAGGGATATAACATGTAATGAAGATAAACAGTCTCCAACAACACTGAAAAGAAACACAGGGTACTGTAATACAGATCTAACAAAAAATATTTTTAATTTTGTTGCCTACCTTAAACTCATAATTCTTAGCCCATAATTTACTGTACTCTAACAACAACACTTTCCTTTAAAATATCAAAGCAGTATCTTTTCTAAATTTGAAAAGTTTCCACAGCCTTACAGTTTTCCAGAAGATGAGCAATGGAGTCATCGTGTGAAAGGGTTTAAAAGTATTATAAGATTATATCTGTTAGCTATAAAATTTTGGACCCAGCATTGCTGACAAATTTGCTCTGAGGGTAAGCGTTCAGAGATAAAAGCATGATTTCAAACCTTTGGGCTCAAGCTTGCTTCTCTCTCTCCATATGAATGTCAAAAAATGGAGAAAAAAATTTCAAAACTGCTCAGAAATGCCAGCTTGCTTTTTGCAGCCAGCTTTTGGGAAAAAAAATAAATAAATAAACACAAGAAAAAACCCCACCAACAAACCAAGAACAACCCTTCCATCCCTGCCCTAAACAAAAATTTTGTTACTGATATTTATTATCAGGTATTTGTATCATGTGGTCCCCTAACAGTAACTAAAAGACATATCTTATCAAACATCCTTCTTTTGTGATCCAGCCAATATAACCAGGCAAGATTATAAGGAAATATCAGTTTGGAAGATCCAGACATGTTTGCTGGAAGAGCAGGCTTTTAAAAGGACTTCATAGGGATTGCTTACTCAATTGGTGGTATGCTGTAGCAAAGAAAATCCCACTATGGGGAGAAATTGTTTTGTTTTCAGTCCAGACAAACTTAGCAGAAAAATTTAATCTCTGGCCAATGGGAAGGTCAAGTGTAGGCAGCATTAATCTCTTTTTAATTTATGTAAGGGAAAAGCTTCTGTTTGTTCCAGGGTAGGATGCTCTTAAACTGTTTCTATAGTAAATTCATAGGTATTCTGAGAAAGACAAACTTGCTGTAAGTACAGCTAAGGCAAAACAAAGCCTCCTTTGCTGTAAGGTGATTGATGCTTCCTACTGATCTCATGTTTATTTGGTATATGCTAATTCTTTATATCAAAGTCACATCATTTAGACTTGGTTCAGAAGTGTTGGCAAGATGAAAAATACTAGCACAAGCTTTTTCGACAGCTTAGTAACTGCTTAAGATTATTAAACAAAACCTCCAGTTTCTCAGCCAACTACATAGGGTTATATGAAATGCAGCTACGAGACATTATTTCAGACTTCACCTCACCCACCTTGACTAACAAGTTCTCTTTTTCAAAGAGAAGTGGAGAGAAAGATTTTTTTAAACTTCAAATGATTCAACAGCTGTTCCACCATTTTACCACTGCCTTCTAAAGTCGGGGTTTGCTTTAAGAAGGTACACCAGATTTTTCTATTTTCTAAGCATCTTGTTTCTATTGTAGGATAATGGTAGCTCACCTTCTCACCTTCCAAAGGCAGAGATGCTTTTCTCTCTTTGGTCTCCCAGTTCAATGTCTCCAGCCTCCTGATGGATGATTCAAGAGCTCCTGCTTGGTTTTTCATGAGCCGATGCAACCTTGAGATCAACAGTAGACTTGACAGCTGGCAGGGAGTTTTCAAAGAATTTTAATTGATCTTTTGAAAGTACCTCAAAACATCAGACTGTCTTGGCAGACTCTTTTAAAAGTCCCAGTTTTCAGATGTGAAAATGTTAGCTTTTTTTTTCCCTCCTTCAACAGTATTTTTGTGGAACACCTGCTGGCTCCCATTAGCAGGAAACAATCATCCCAAAAACAGAAAGTGTACTAAATTTACCTTATTTTTGAGTGTCCCTTATTGTCACTGAATTATACAGTGGAATGTTTTCCAAAGACAAAACTTCAGTGGTATAGACATAGGAATGGACTGGGTGAAAATAACTTGTGATTTTACAAAGTGTCTTGAAATTGTTTGTCATTCCTGAAAGCTAAGTCTCAAAAGAGCTAAGGTGTTAGAAAATAACAAAGAATAAATAATATTTACTATTTATCCATGCTTTTTTTTTTAATCTGTTGTTTTTATCCATTTGAAACAGACATAAAGCACTTCGTAAAGTGCTTTCAGATTTTTTGCCCTACTTTACTCAATCATCTTTTTTGGTTTTTTTAGTTCTGTAAATCAGATAAAAAGTTAAAAGGAAGTCTATGCTGAAAGAAGGCATCCAGATTCCTTTATGCCACACAAGGATTTTGCAAGACCAAGGTCAACCAGGTGAAGAGGAAGCTGGAAAAAAACTGCAACTATTTAAAAGCAAAGTTAACAACTAAACAGTCAAGTTTCAGTTCGGTTTCAAGTTGATTAATTTCAGGAGATGATCAATTTTTATAGTCTGTCTTTAAGTGTCAAGCCGAGATTATATAATTATATATATCTTTTGATTATGAAATCTTGTTAATTTCAATTATGAAATACAAGTCACCTTAAATCTCTGAAGTTCTTATGTTTCAAAAATAAAAACCAAGGTGTTCACGTTCTTGGATATCAGAAATACAACTCCTGGAAACACTTGTTTCCTTCTAGCAGTCTTCTTACATCTTTGTTTTGGCACTTGCACTCTTTCCCCAGTTCCAGTCAAGAGATATAGAAGAATAAAAGCTTCTAATCACATACAGCTCTTACTTTACCACTTCTAGGAGTAGGCTTTTTGTTTCTCCAGCTTTGATTCCCATTTAAATGGACTTCTAGATCATAATGTGATAAATCTATCACTGATTAAATTACTTTTTATCCAGTGCTACAGCTGTGAGTAGGTGACAGTTATAGCCTGTACTTGCCTTCAAGTAATTTCAGCATAGCTTGATATTTGAGAAGGTATGTTAAGAATATTCTTTTATTTTCTTCACAGTGAAAAGATTTTATGTACTTACTGGCCTACTGCCCAAAATTTCAGTTGGAGAAGGAGACTACATATGGCACATTCACATTTGATTTAGAGAGAGTATACATCCTGATGTTCAACTTCCATGCCAAGCAATAAAGGTAAAAAAACTATCAAGAGAGTCACAGTTTTATGTCAGGGAGCTAGTTCTGTTCCCTAGATTAAAATAACTGAAAATAATAAAATCTATTTTGAATTCCCAGTCAATATTCTACTTAATATCACCCTGAGAAGAATTTTTTGCCAGGTTTTTTTCTTCAAACTTTTTTTTTTTTTTTTTTGAGCAGCAATCATAAGCTGCAATAGGAATTAAAATAAACCCTAGAAAAAGTTAAATCAGCACAGTATTGCTATTTGAGGGCTTGCCTCATTTTTCTTCAAGCTACCTGCTGAAGTAGAACTCAGAAGGCTCATTTTTAGTAACCAAACATTTCTTCACTATCTATTTGATAAATCATGATGACCAAAGCAAAGTATACATCTTGTTTTCTAATTCTGAGAGACACAGACATCTTCTTCATTGAGAAGTGATGGAATTAGTCACAAAGCACGAATTACCACTTTCAATTTCTCGATTTTTTACCTTTCCTTCACACTTGATGTTGCTCAAGACTGGACAAGATGGATCCCTGGAAATGTGGTTTGGATGAGCAGAACCTTATTGGGCTATCTCAGAATGAACCAAACCCAAATACATCAACTGCTGCATGTACTTGTACTCCTTCAGAACATGCACAATAGTTTTTAAATGGAAGCCTACCTTATATTTAGTAAACATTACTTTAGTGAGGGAATTTCATGCAAAGGCAATCCTAGCAATAGGAATACTGTCAGACTTGGAGAAACAGAACACTTTTAAATGATGTGTAAGTATCAACACCTCTTTCACTGTCTGTACACTGGAAATATACACTCATCTGCTAGAGTGCTTAGTTCAATTTTAGTTCTTCTATTCTAATTTTTTTTTACTGTAGAAGGATAAAATTTTTGGGGGGTTCTTATGATTCTGAAACACTGAAAAGAAAAATCTACCTCCTAATCTTCACAAATGCAGGGACCAGGGCAGCCTCAAAGCCAGAGACTACATACAACAGTTCCTGTTTTCCAACATAACTGATTAGCTGCAGCTCTCAACTGCATCAGTAGGCACAAAAAAAGTTAAGGCAAACTCTTACTTGTAAAACAGAAAAGAAGAAGACAGCAGAGCAGCACTGTTATTTAAAATTTAAAAAAAAAAAGTTTAGAATCAGAATTTAACATCAAGATTACACAAGAGACAAGAAGAAATATTAAATATTCTAAACTTTTCTGTGTGGGGTTTCTTTCATTTTGCAAATGAAAGAAAGCCCATGCAGAAAAATTTAGAATACTTAATATTTCAAATGAAGACAACTCAATAGAATCAAATTTCATTGCTCAGAAAAGGAAAATTATTTTGTAGAGGTATTTCCGAGATTCAGAATTAAGGCTCAATAAGAACAGTATTTTTGGAAAGGCCAGACCCCATAGTCAAGAAAATTTATCACAACATATATTTATCAGAAGGTATTTTATTGGCAACAAATAGAAAATTGTTACTCTCATCCCCTGGTGTTTCATTTTAAAGATAAAGCTTTTCCTTCACCGCTTTTACAGACTTGTAAATTCAGCATTGTAAAAAATTAAAACAAAAAACAATTGTGACAATAAATTAAGAAAATGTGAGGAGGAGGAGAAAAGCCCAACCCATCAAGGAGAAACAGAAGCAATAGAAAAGTTATGCAGTAGAATTGAAGTATCATATTATATTCTCCTTCCAAAAGAACTTTGGGCGTTTTGCACATGAAATAAAATAGCAGCAAAGAAAAAGGATAAATACAAGTGCATTGGTGTCCCACTGGAACTTGTTCTTATCAACCAAAACAGTAGTACTCATCAGAATCAATTTTGGGATGTTTATGCAGAGACTGTGAGTCCTCCATGGCAGAAGAATCACTGAACTTGTCCATATCTGATGGGGTTTGGTGACCAGGGACATCATCCACTAAGGTGTCCAAATAACTCCCCACTGATATTCCATCCAGTCCATCACTACAGTCTTGTAAACTGTTACAGCTGCCATGGAGGGATGTCTCCTGACTTTCTAGCAAGCTGCACAGACTTCCACTCAAACTGCTGCCTCTGCTGGCAATGGCTTTCTCTTCAATCATCCACTTGATTGATTCAATACTTTCATTGATGAGGAGGAGCTGGCGCATAAGCTTCACATCAGTGGCTCGGAGATTAACCTACAAGGCAAAAGTGATAAATTACTTTTTTCATAATCAAGCCAAAGAGCAGGCTTTAATGGATTAAAAGAAAACACACAAAAAAATCCAGATTTAATATATAGGACAAATCTATTTCAGTAACTACTAAAAAAGCCCACAAGCAAACAAATAAAAAATGCCAAAACATAGTTACACTAATAATTTCAGTGAAGGTCAGGCTAGAGCCTGTTCAGCCTCTCTAAGCACTTCATTAACAGAACTGCTAGTCAGTGACAAGACTTGTGTGCACACTGGTACAATGCTGTTTAAATGAGAAACATAGCTGCTATGACAACTTCTGGGGACAGCCTTTTACTAATCAGAGAAGCAAGACACAAAGCCATTTCTATTTACCATTACTCTAAGCTACTTACATCTACAGACATCTAGGCATTCACCCAAAGTTACCCTCACAGCAGCTACTTGGGCAACCTAAAATTCTCAGATGTGCATAATTTGGAAAAAAAACTTGTGGATATTTAACTTTTACTCACACTACTACATGAAAATCTTCTGTATAAATGTCTGAGAGTTTAAATATTTAACTTATTGACACTGTAACTTTCAGTTATTTAAACCCATATTAGATGAAGTTCAGAGTTAACCATATTACAGACCTGGAGCAAGCATTTGCCACAGCTAATTAAATAAAAAGTGGACATTAAGAACAAACTCCTACTTTCTTACTTAGTTGTGGTGGTTGATGCAAACACACAGAAGCATTATTAATGCACAGTGGAATATTGCAGTGTTACATTTCACAGGTATATCTGAGTTAACCATCCTAATGTTTTCCTTATCGGGCAAACTATATAAGCCACTTTTTACATCACTTCAGCTGACAAATAAAGGTGAGACCTAAGGTTTATATTCATTGTTTCCTTCTCTTTGTCTGAAACATCATAGGATAGGTACTGGAAAAAAAATAAAAATCTGTGACCCTGTCTTACGTACCATATTGAAAATTTGAAAGACTTCACTCAACTGAAAAATAAAAAAAAAACCAAACAAGTAAGATCTATTACAGACAATAGATATTTTATACAATTATCCAAGTCCACAACTGTTGTACAAAAAACCAGCACCTGTATTGTTCATACACAATGGACTGGAACAGAATCAGTATTCTTGGGAAGCAAAGACTGTATCTTGTTTTGCTAAGAGTATAATCTGGACATGATCCTTCCCATACTCAGATGCCATCTTCTCAGTACCCCAAATTTCACTGACATGCAACAGTTGCTCAAAAATTAGTTTAATGTATTTTTATTCTTTTAGATACCGCAGAAGATTGTAGTGGATCCAGCTGGGACTCTTCCTAGCAGCCAGTATGGTTTTGTTCTCTGTATCTGTGACTAAACCATGTTGGTAGAATTCCAGTGCTTCAGCTCTTGCTGAGTAGTGAGTGCAATCAAGGCCTTTTCTGTTTTTAACTCCACACCCTCAGCAAATAGATTAGGACTGAGAAAGTTGTTTGGAGTGGGCAGAGATGGGAAAGTTGATCAGAATTCATCAAATGGGTATTTCTTGCCATACAATGGTGTGCCCAGCAATAAAACCTGTGCATTTGATCTTTCCTATACAGCTGCTGCCTGGGGGCTGACTTGGTCTACTGGTGGGAAATGGTGCGTTACTAACTTTCATCACTTGTTCATTTAATCTATTTCCTTCATTTTTTAAACTGTGTTTATTACAATTTAAGTTTTTCTCACTTTTGTTCTTCTAATTTTCTCCCCTGATCCCACTGGAAGGGCAGTTGGTGGGTGCTTAGTTACTGGCCAGGGACAAGCTAACACAAAGACATTACTTTGCCAGTAACAGACTGCCTTGTGTAATTGCCACATGTATTCCCAGCTTCCTTTCCCAGTCCCCAGAATGACTTCTGAATTATTCTCAATCCAGTATCACAAGATATAACACAGCTAATCTGGTATTGTGCAAAACAGCTCTACCTACCACTCAAAGTTTTAACAATACTGCCCATCTATCATTGTTTCAGAGGTGAGGTTATGAAAACAGATTGACCATTTTGCAGTTCTCCTGCTCAAGCCAATTCCTCTACTCTAACCAATAAATCACTATAAACCATTTGCTCGAAAACTATGCTGTCATGAAAGCAGTAAATTACCCAACTTCTCAAATGCAACTCAGTAACTTGAGTATAAACATGCTCGGAGACAAGTTTCCCAAAAGGCTGATTAAGAAAATGTTTAACAGAACTAGCACCTATATGACTCAAATGAAACAGCCCCTTTTAGATAAAGCAGACATCTCATACATTTCAGATTCAGTTTAGGAAATATTTTTTTTCTCTACATACAGCAACAGCTTCAGCATTTTTGTGGAACAGCCTTACTGGAAGCAATTCTTTGCATTCCTGAGTACTAGAGTAGTCCTCCTCCAAGCTACATGTCATTATTCCAAGGCTCCCATATCAAGAGTGTGCTTTTCCTAAAGCAAATATGAAGAAGTAGTTTAACAAGTGTCATCTTTCTTTAATACGGTTTACTTCATCATCTGTTTGGTAACACAAAAATGTCAAAATGACATTTTTTTCCCCTTATGTGCTTTAGCACAGACACAATCACATTAGCTTTTACTCACTTATGTAGCTGCAGCCCATTTATCTTGGAAGTTTTTGGAGCATACAAGCTGGAGTGTTTTTGGAGTAAACAAGTCAGTCCAAGACGATTCAGCTAGCAGGACTAAACACAATAAAATCTCACCATGCTTGACAGCTCCATTTGTTATGCACAGTAACAGGTGCATTTCAGGAATAATCTAAATAGTGTATCATAGCTAATAAAGGCTTTTCAGGACAATTTCTATAGGTGTTCTTCTAGTTAAAGCTAGAGCACAGGACTACCATAGGGAAGGTGTGTGTTATTATGGATCAGTCCTCAGCAAAAAACTTATGGTGTATAAAGAAAACTACAAGAAAGTGAAAACTAATTTCCTGTTACAGGTTAACTTTTATATATTTTTGCTTAGTTTTGCTCTGTGTATTTGCAATAGTGCTGATCACAGGAAGGATACTAAATGCTTAACACTAAGAGCTAGTCACAGCAAGAGAAAATAACGAAATTAAAGTGACAGGATCTTCTCAAGTAACACATTCTGGTAGCATAAATGCACAGATTAGTGTTCAGACAGAACCAGAACTTTAATCTGGAAGGAACAGCTGGACTAAACACCTGTCTGTGCCTCCCTCTCATTAACTGCTGTTCTAGCAAAATATTTCTTCCTTTCTTTTGGTCTTCTGTAATAATACATACAACACTGTCATAATTTATTCAAGAGTATTGATACATACATATATATATATATATGCATATATGTATATATATATAAAAATATAAGGGCTTTTGTGTATGTGTATATGCAGAGAGATACACAAATATTCATGTTAATTTTATATACAATGCATTGTTTTTGATAAAGAACTTGACTAGGTCATTGCTTTTAGAAAAAAACTCTTAATGACCAGGACTGCTAACAAAGACAATTACCGCTTCCTGGCAGTCACCCAAAGTAGTGCATTAGCCGTCCCTAGCCTGATCACTTAGCGTGTGGATCAAAGTCACAAATGTAGTCACAGTTTCAGCAAAACAGACTTGCATTTTGCTGCTGCATATTCTGCAGACATAGCTTCCAGTCAGTTCCAAACAGAGTGGGTCACTTTCCCCTCCAGAAATGGCAAAGCTAAAATGTCTGTTGAATGTCTGCACTTCCAATCTGCACAAGCTATTTGAAACTCTAATTTCTTCCTTTTAAATTCCTGGATTCACATAGTGCTTCTTTTAACTACAGGAACTATGCAGGAATATTAATGGCAACCATAAAACATAGTCTGAGGAAAAGTTATCCATAAGTTTGTTTAAATTATTTCAGTTCCATTTTTTTTTTCTCAACACTTTTATATTTTGTGCTACAAAGAGTCTACTAGCAAAAGGAAAAGAAGTGAGTGAACCTAAATAATAAGGTTCACTCATGTCTTTTAGCCAGACCACAGTGAAGTAAGTTCTTACAACAGACAAAATCTTATACTTACAACTTAATGGATTCAGGGAGCTATTTAAGTCACTCAGATCAGAAGCTCTGCCCTGCACAGAATATCAAGACGAATCTAGGGTTGGCTGCTCTGAAATCTGCGCTCTAAAACATCTTGAGTTTGGACACAAATTCCATAATATGTGGAAGAGGATGGAAGCAATAACAAAGTACAGTATTCCTGGGAAAGCCCCTCAGAGGTTCAGGCTTGGGAAGAGTTGCAGAAGATAACAAACATGTGGAGAGGTTAGATGAAACTAACGGCAGCCAATTCCATCTGTTGCTAAACACTACCATACCCCCATCTCTATCACACTTTTTACAAAAAGAATTTCAAACCAGTAGAACTTTTCCATACTAAACAGGTATTCATGACCACTATGCCTCAGGAGTATTAATGCTACTATTGTTTCCATTTCCTAGGAAGTGTCAGAGATAGCCTCCTGCTTTTCTATTCAATGTCTTCCATTTCCCATATCATTTAGGATGAAGAGCTTGCTAGCTATGCCTACCCTCGCTTTCATTAACAGGGAGATTACCTCATCTTTTCATAAAATAGTAAATTCCATCAATTAATTTGAGATGCAATTAAAAAAAAAATCTAACAATCAATTTCCAAATAATAATTTGTTTTGCATTCTGAGATGTCTCGTTTTCAAAAAAGTCAACCTTATTCCACTTTCTACTGGTGCTACTTTTACTATTACAAACACTGCATAACAACTTTTAAAGTAACTAAGGAAATTAATTTACAAGGCAAAGATGAGGGTGAGGAAAATAAAACAGTGACTGGCAATTACTCAAGTCATGTCAAGATACAAATATAATAAGAAGATATATAAGGATAAAAAAAATGGTCAATAAAACCTTATCAACTAATTCTGCGAGACCATAACAAGCTAAAATACCATAAGCAACTTACTCAAAATCCAAAATTCAGGATATGTTAATTCAAGTGTTAATTAACTGGAGTCACCAAGCTGACAAGTTTACAACAGGGGTAAATCTGGTGACAGACAGGATTTTTTTATTAAACATGAAGCACGCCATTTGAAGGTGAGCAAGCTCGAAGTGATACTAGAACAGCTTCTCAACACCACTAAGTAAAAGACATGCTCTTTTTTTTTCCCATTTAACATGTCTAAAATAAAATAAAACCACAAATAACAGATAATGTCTGCTCCTTTAACACACAGGATGATTAATAGGCTGTGCAGGACCTACATCCTACTTAAATGAAAACACATGCATGTGCATGTCTTTAAACTTCTTGCCTGCTTCTAAATTGTCCCACTGATTCAAGGTGTTTACATTGGTTTCTTCATATAATTGTGCTGCTTTAGGCAATGGTATTTCAGGATCAAGATGAAAAGAATTAGAATGCCTAGGCTGACTTCTGAATTTGAACTTCTCCTGAATCTGAATCTTCAGAATCTCCTGTTAAAAATGCAGGGAGTTTTACAAGACAGAGAGTAAGAAGGCAAGTTTACTGTCATCAGCTGGAAGACATCTTCTACACACCAGTGGAACAGTAAACTTCTTGGAGGAATATGCCACATACACTCCACAGCAAAGCCAACCAACTGGTAAATTCAGACACCACAATAATTCAAGCTAACCCAGCTAACCTGACTGAAACTCTGTATGAGCTCTCTTAAAACAGTGGACCAAAGCCTGGCAAAGAATGAGGCTGTCAGAGTCAAGGTAGGTGCTGCAATGTTCATCATTATGCCCTGTGTCTCTGACTGTGATTTACCTCACACTGATTTAGCTGAACTAAATTTCAGTCAACAGTGATACATGTAGATAAACAGCTTTTTCTGCATCTGGTTTCTTTCAGCATGGACTTGTGTTATTATGTATTGCTGTATTATTTTCCCATTTATTTTCTCCTGATTTTTAGGCTTGTGGTAAGCTTCAGACAATGAGGGAGCACATACATAAAGCTACTTATATACAGAAAAGCTAAATTTATGTGATCCATTGTTGATTTGTAGTTATAATTTGTTCATCTACTTTCTTTCAGCAAAGTGGGCAAGTTACACTGACCTTTCTCAGCTATACTTTCATAATGAGTCACAATAAAAATATTGTGGCAGACCAGAAGTTTTGATTACTTAGTTTTTGGCTTCTTTTGCAAGAGATTGCAAAAGGAGTCAAAATTTATACTCTTGCATCCCTTGAAGACTCTGTAATTGTTAAAACCCTCATATATCAGATATTATAGGTAGCATTCATTACAATCGCTGAACTCCCAGCTGCTCATAAAAGTGAGTAGTCTGCACCCTTTGCTACTTTAAACAGAGGCTGTAGCCTAGTTATTGTCCTGCTGCAGTTCCTGCATTTCCACTGCAATCCTTCACCATGTCCTTGCAGTAAGTATTTCCAGAGGTCCATCTCTAAAAGTTGGCAGCCACGTAACACAGCTTTGGTAACAGTGACTTTTAACTAGGAAGAAGACAGACCTTGTGATTCCACAAAAGGATTTTACTGTAAGGAGAACTGACCAACCCATTAGCTAAATCAAGGAAGTGGGCAGATCAGGTCTGAGCCACCACTGGAATAATGCAGGAAAACACATCAAAATAATTAGGAAGCAGAGCAACTTCATGAGACAGCAAGTTAGTTCAGCAGGCAAGGAGATTAAATAACTCAATGAGCAGGCTCCAAGGACATTTCTTGCAAATATATGAACAAAATATTATGCTAATATGGTTATCATCTGATACAGGAAATTACCATACTGGCAATTTAAATTTCTAACACCCTATTTTAATATTTTAGTTTTATGTATACTAATTGTTTCCCTTATGCTTAACAGGAAAATACATACCACCAAGTTGAGCAATTGTTTATTCATATTATCTGTGGGGGGTGGGGGGTGGAAAAAGTGAATCTCATGGCCTTTTTTCACTGCCTTGAAATATGCATGGTCCTTGTCTGGGGAGTATGTGTAGGCCTGCCAAGTGCATTAACACCTTTGATAATAAAATATCAATGATTAGGACGAATCATTTGATCAGTAGGGTACATTTTTTCTTTTAACATTATACTATTTGAGGTATCTTGTATGCCTAAATGGCTTGAATGTAATAAAAAATTCCCAGGGGAAAAAGTATATTTTTGTTTATTTTAGTGTTTTGGCCATCTCTTTATTTGATTGTGAAAAGGAAGAAACTATTTAAGTATCTCCTATGCAGATATGACAATGATTGTCAAAAAAAAATATAATGTACAAATGGGAGCAAGTAGAGGGAAAAAGAGAAGTTATTTAGTTAGGTTCTTATTTTCTCACCACTTGTCCAAGTAAAACAAATGTTAAATAAGCTCTTTAAATAAATGTAAGTACCACAGAATTCAAAGAGAGAAACATCCAGTCTCAGAAGGATGAAAAATATAAAAGGAAAATCCTGACTCTTTTGAAGTTTAGTTGAATTAACATGAAAGGGAGCAGTGACAAAATGGAGATTTGCAAGGAGGAAAAACTTCTAATGCTGCTGGTAAGTTTTACTGAATGCTTCCAAATATCTCATACTACTGTCATAAAAGCATCATCTGACCTTAGAAATGTATCTACTATGACCAAGGTGAACATGTCCAGAACAATCCATAATATGGACCCACATATGCTGACAGACAAGATAACTCCACTGCAAACATTCAGGTCAATATGAAGCTGCAACATTTGGCTGTGAGTGTCAGAAAGTGTTACAGCAGATGGACGATCACAGCATCATTATAAACTGTTCTGGACAACAGCCACAATGCAGGACTGCATGTGTCTTCTGATCAACACAAAACAGAACTGGGGCAAAAGAACGTATCTAATTTCTTTTTTTTTTTTGCCAATGGATATCACTCTCTGCCTCATTTATGTTTGTCTTGATCAAAACATAGTCTTAGAAACACTACACAAAAAAAAAGAAAAAATATAATTACCACTTCATACCTGTTCATCCCTTCAAAATGAGTAACAATACTGGCACTATGGAAGTATACTCAAAAGCATAAAACTAAAAAAATAAAAGAAGATAATGGTGTTTGCTTACAGGTATATTCAAAGTTTGAAAATATTACCTTTATAGAGATAACAGCAAAGTTTGGAAACATTTTAAAATGTAAAAAAAACCCAACAACAACCCTCAAAAAAACCCTCATCAAAACACCCAACACATTTTCTTAAAACACAACGGAGACACAACAACAGTAATACTGGGGAGAAACCTGGAATCTCTTGAAATTCAAGTCTGCTTTCACTTTCTATATATCACCGGAGAGACTTTTAAAAAAAAAAAAAATCTTTGTCTAAATCTCTCCAGAATTCAAAATGGATTTAGTTTGAAACAATTCTGTGTTCCTGGAGATGGGCTATATCCTACTGAAAGCATATTTTTAATCTAACAATCAAATCTCTAGTAAAGGCAACCTTCAGTCCTATTTACTGAAGGTTTATCTGGATAAGAATAAAAAATAACTTCAAGACAGCTTTGGTATTATAAATGATCACATGTGCTGCTAAAAATTATTTAGTAGTCCTAGAAACTGATTTGCTGATCACTGGGATTTTTCCCCTATTGAAACACAATGAGCATTATGTTTGAAAAAAAATTAGTCTCTTAAAAATAAGGAGTTTTGTTTAAGTTTTGTTATGGTCCCTACACAGTCTGAAAGCACTAGCAAGTCTGAGGTCTTTCAGATAATATCAAGGTGGTTATTTTGAGTCTTTCAAACAAAAACACTTCTAGCAAGCTGAAATACAGCAATTGGCCAGCGAGCAGGCTGTTGAGAACTACACCAGCTGCAACTTTTGAGCCCTGTTTGGCTCAAAACCCCACAGACTCCTTTGTTTCCCACAGAACATGCCTCAGCTATTCATTCTGTAAGTCACAAGGTGTGATTATCAATGTATATTAACAATTAAACAAAGACACATCCTATGCTTCCAGGCAAGGGTATGAGAAGGTAGTAAAAGTAATAAGTCATGAACTGTAAACTTCAAGGCAAAACCAAGGTACTCTAGGCAACATTTTATTTCCATGTTATTTGTTCCCTTCTCTGATCAATAACTATTATCCACACCATATAGTGCAGTCCTCAGCTTCTCCTACACCACTCTAGCTCGTCATATTCCTCTTTTTATACTCAAACCTGTTCTCAGCAAGTATTTCTACACAGAAGAGTACTGGGGCAGTTTGGTGTGATTCTAGCTCAGCCAAGAATATTAGTCATAGCTATCAATGCAGTTATCAGATGGATGAGTAACTTTAGAAGGAATCAAGGTCATTGCTTACATTTCCCATTTCTTTTCCTAGCTACTAAGCTAGATGGGGAGCAAAAATAAGGTGCAGGACTTGCAAAACATGGCAAGGAAAGGACAAATACGAATTTTGGTCTTTGTGAATAATCAAGGTAACCTGATTATTCAGGTTAAATGAAAGAACTAGTCAAGGAAAACAGCAGATTCTGACTAGAGACGTCTTCTTAGAAGTATTTGAAAAGGGCTGGCAACAGCTCTTCTGAAGTAATTTTGTCATTAAACTTCATCCGAGTACAAATTAATAAAAATGGAGGAGAGAAATTACAAAATATTAAGGATCATAGTGTTTCTTTGGTTGCATTTTCTTTCTTGTCTGAAATGGGTGGACTGATGCTCTGAACTGGTGAATGCCTAAATAGCTTTATGAAGCTACCATCACAGAAGGGTACCTCATCTGGCTATGGGGAAAACAGCAACTGTGCCTTCACTCTCCTGCCTCTGTCACAGCAACCAGTGGCAATTGTTAACAAAGAAGGATGTAAATTCCACAGGACCTTGAAGAACACCACTATTGCTTTGGCATGCTAGTAAGTATTGCTCTTCTCTTGCAAAGAGGCTTTCTCCTCTCTCTGCTGTAGCAGGAGTTACAGTTTTCTCCCACAAACCTGTAACATTAGAACCCTGCCATACAACACCACTTGAAATAAAAATACTTCATTGCACTGCACAATTGTGCCAAGACATGTGGACAAGCCATTAACATTCACAGTGGTTGAAATAGCCCTGTGAAGGCAAAATGCAGCTGAAGTCACAGAATAGGAAAAGTCCTGTAAAATATATCATTCTGGCTTTATAGTTACTCCTCTCACAGCTGTATAGTTTTGAGAAGACCAGAAAAACAGTCTAAAGTTTACAATGCCTCCTTGAATGACTTCCTTCTCCAAGTTGTCATGTTTTTGTGCAGACCCATCTAAATCCCATTAGTCAGAAAACCTTCCTGCCCATGGGAAGGATTCTTCAACACTAAAACCAACATTAACCCCCTACATTGCCACTGTTTTATTATTAAGCACTTTGCTCTAAACATGCACCATTTGCCTTTGTCTAACACAGAAAATGGTCTGTACTAGTAGTGGCCAAACTCCACCCTTTCAAACAGGCCTTTCCTAGGCACTCCTATAAAGGTACATATTAATCTTGCTCCAGGAAGAACAAGAATCAGAGAAGCACAGAAGAGTTGGGGTTGGAAAGGACCTCTGAAGATCATCTAATCCCACATCACTGCTATGGCAAATTGAACAGGACTGAGTCCAGGCAGGTTTTAAAAATTTCCAGAGAGGTAGACTATACAGTCAGAAAGCTTGCAGCCTGTTCTGGCTTCCAGTCACCCTCAAATAAATAAGCTTTTCCTATTTGGATGGAACCTCATGTATTTCAGTTGGTTCTCATTGTCCCTTGTCCTGTCACTGTGCCCACTAAAGAGAGTCTGGTCCCATCTTCTTGACAGCCACCCTTAAGATATTTGTACACAGTGAAAAGATCCCTGTACAGCAGTCTCCAGGCTAACTTGGGCCAGTTCCTTCAGCCCTTCCTCCTAAGAGAGATGATACTCCATATCCCTAGTCATCTTTATAGCCATCAGCTGGACCAGCTCTCCAGTAATTCCTTGTCTTAAACTGGAAAGCCCAAGATGGATCCCCAAACAGCACTCCAGAGATAGCCTTACCAGGGCTGAGTAGAGGTCAGGTATGTACATAACTTTCACTGGTTTTCTAAAGAGGTGGCTAAACAATACAGATACTATTCCTCTTTCCACAGAAATGCTTCATATTTTCCTCCTTGGCATCAGGACTGTTTTTTTCTGGTCATTTGTAATTACTGGATGGATCAAGGTTTGAGTCTGAAGTTTTTAAATTAAAAAGTCTTTTAAACTGAATATTAAGAAAGTCATGTACAATGTTTGCTGTATCTCATAAACAAGTGTCTGAGCTAACAAAAGCAGTGCAACTATCTCAAATACACCTCTTTAAACAAATGGAAATTCTGTAGGCAGAGAGGGGAAAAAAAAAAATACAAAGCAACCAAGCTGTTCTATTTTTGTTTCTACCTTGGGGTAAATATGTGTGAGCTTGGAAACACTCACTGCACTATAGTTCTTGGATGTGTTTCCTTCTGTACCTATGGAGGGGTAGGTTTCATAGCCAAACCAGAATGCAGTAAAACAGATCTTCCTCTGGAAGCATTTGAGTCATGAATGCAGCTGATATCTAACAACAGCGAACAAAATCACAAATTATGCCAGTAAAGTGTTTATAGAATCTGAAACTCCCAGCAGTTAAATAGCAATTTACCATTGTTTTAAAGTCACTAAATGTTTTCACTTCATCTGACGCTGCACCCAGCAGGGCCATACAGCATTGAGAGTTTATTGTACAGCACATGAATGAACGAATGAATACACGAATGAAACATTCAGTAACTCCTCTGGAAGCTTAGCTAGTTTGTGTTTACAGTTAATTATGTTAATTATAAAATGTGCCATTCCATTCTCTTGACAAACTGAAAGTGTTAAGAAAGGCTAGATTGGTGGAGAAAGATGAGGATTGGATTGAGATGAGCCCCAGCTGAGGCCAGGGCTGCACTGGTGCACAAGTATGCTATTCTCCATGTTTATGGAAGCTCTAGGTGAGTTTGCATACCCTGAAAAAATGGAGTAGCTGACTTTATGTACTTATATACCTGACATATATTTACTCTCTAGTGTCCTTCCTCATCCTCTTTTATGGAAGAAGAGAAACCTCTTTGAGAACTACTTAAAGAGGGGAATCCTCAGACACATTTTATTCTACACGCTCATCTTCAGGCAAGCACCAGAGGGACTGAACCACAGAACAAGCGACCTGTGAAATACATGACCATCCCAATATCTTTCTGGATTTGAAAAAGCTTGAAAACTTGAACTGTGTTGTTTGTATCTTTCAAAGATGTAATATAAGATGGCTTATGGACCCTCTGGATGGGGGACCCTCTGGATGGGTTTTGGTCACTCATTTTGGTCACCCTCCAGATTAGGGCTGCTTCCAGCTGCTTACCACAATTTCTTCTACCATAGGAAAAAGCTTATAATTAGAAGCCAGATTTAAAGGAGTAAGGCTGGATAACAACGGCTGTGAGTCTGTCTTAACAACAAAAATGTTTCCCTTTTATTATGAGATTGTCTGTAATTGTCTGAAGAGCTCTTCATCTTTACAAACATTAAACTGAGAACCATCTTGTAGAACTGCTTACATACAGTAAGTTTAACTTCCATGTTTATAAATGCAAGTTAAATCCATCAGAGAAATTACACTCAATTTAAATGAATTGCAATTGCTTTTCAACAGCTCAGATCCTGTCTTTTTTACTCCTGTAACTTCATGTTCATTTGCTTCAGATTCCAGTAACCAGCCCCCCTTCCAGGACATGGACAGAAATTAAACACATGGAAAATAAACATGTCCACTGTGGAAAGTTTAGTAAGTTTTGACCTTGAGGGTAGAGAACAGACAAATAATCTAGTAACATTTAAAACATTAATTGAGAATGCACTCTATTTCTTTTACTATTTACTGTTAGGAAAAAGAAAGTATTGAAGAGTAGAAATGCACTTGTTGGCCATCACCTCTACTTAATATATGTATTTGGCATTGTGCATTTCAAGCTTTTCCTACTCATATACAAAAGGAAGTTTCAAATTGTTGTTGTCGTAAGTAATCACATAAAAGAAAGCATCCATACAAAATTACAATGATCAAAGGGCTGGAAAACCTGCTGTAAGAGGAAAGACTTAAGGCAATAGGCCTTTTGTCCCTAGGGAAGTTTTGGGGATAGGAGTATCCCCTCACAGCATTCCAGTAATTTGGGCTGATACAAAGAGGACCAGGAGAGCTAAATACAAGCTCAAATTTTTTGCAGTGAAGACAATCAGTCATGGCAACAACCTCCCCAGTTACATGGCTGAGGTTTTCAGGATGGACAGGGTGCTTGACAATGTCACCCAGACTCCATTTCCTTTGAAATGTGAAATCAGATGGTTTTCTGAAGTCACTTTATGGAATAGCCCTTCCACCCCAGTTATAATATGAAAGCCATGCTGTTATGCTGATTTCATCAGAAAGGTAATAATCTATTTGCTAAAAGTTATCATAAACTGTACAACTCTGTGCAGAAGTAGCTTAGTATTCATATCATTTCATTACAAATTGTCAGGAATCAGACTTCAAAAAATCAACTTCAATGATTCTTCCATTCTTGAAAAAATAACCAGGAAGGAATAATGAAATTATAATACATATTCTCTGAAATAAAAGCTGGCAAAAGGCTCACAGTACATGGGCAGTCTAACTGGAAGTCTTGACTGTAGTATCCCTGAAGCTGCTGTGATGATTCACACCAGACAGATACACGTGTACTGAAGTATCTCACACTGATGCTGCTCCCTAAGGTACCAGCAACATTTCATGGACTATAGGCCATGCAGCAGCTAATAATGTAACCACATATTCATCTGTACTTCCTGAGGACTAAAACCCTTCAGCAGCTTCTATAGCTGAGCAAGGACAGACAGACATAAGCTCCGACTACAACATCGAGATGTTCCACAATTCAAATCCTTCTGCCAGCCACAAAGTGAGATTTGCCAGTCAAAACATATGTTTAAATATGCATCAATTAAAATAACCTTGGTCATCTCATCCTTCCAGAGATGGTACGAAAAGATGGAAAACATGGCAAAGTTCTGGCACTGTAATTAAGCTGCAATTTTTCCTTATTAGACTTATTTTCCCTAAGGATCAATCTACAACTCCGTTTTAACATGAGTCACTGTTACGATCACTGCCTAATCTGCATTACATGCAAAAATTAATAACTCCTCTACTACATCATGCAGATTGGAGGGTAAGGAGAGAACCTGCTAACAATGTACAGGATTCCTTTCTCAGTGAACTTCAGGAGGACTTGGGGAAATAAGTTAATTTCTATTTCTGTATGCCTTCTCTGTAGGTCTAAGAGCCTCATTTCAGAGATTCCCTGAATAATGCCTCATTAAGAAACAAAGGTTAATCAAACTCTCCTGCAAAGTTTTTGAGGCTTCGCCACTAGTAGTTTTATATTTAAGATTTTATCTTCAGTCAAGTTTTTAAGCAAAAATTACAATTAATTAATAAAAAACCAGCATCTGATACACAGCTCTGCATTGCAGATCTTGGTTTCAGTTAAGACAACTGATGTTATCATACAAAATAGTGAATGTAGCAGCCTGTACCTACAGCATGTGTTGAAAGAGGTATTTCAAGTCACAGTTGTAGACTTTTTTAAATCAGTCCTTCAAAGAAACTAATAAATGTAGATACCCTGCAACTGTGGATCTAATAAATCTAAGCAAATATGAAGTTTATCAGATTCTTTAGAACTGCTAGAATAGGGTTATAACAGCTCTGCCCTCCAACCTGA